TTAAGCATGAAAGCTGACTGGGTGACTTTGGGCCAATCACCAGGAGATGGTGAGTTCTAGTCCCACCTTAAGCATGAAAGCTGACTGGGTGACTTTGGGCCAATCACCAGGAGATGGTGAGTTCTAGTCCCACCTAAGGCGTGAAAGCTGGCTGTGTGACTTTGGGCCAATCACCAGGAGATAGTGAGTTCTAGTCCTACTTTAGGCATGAAAGCTGACTGGATGACTTTGGGCCAATCACCAGGAGATGGTGAGTTCTAGTCCTACTTTAAGCATGAAAGCTGACTGGGTGACTTTGGGCCAATCACCAGGAGATGGTGAGTTCTAGTCCCACCTTAGGCATGAAAGCTGACTGGGTGACTTTGGGCCAATCACCAGGAGATGGTGAGTTCTAGTCCTACTTTAGGCATGAAAGCTGACTGGGTGACTTGGGCCAATCACCAGATGGTGAGTTCTAGTCCCACCTTAGGCATGAAAGCTGATTGGGTGACTTTGGGCCAATCAACAGGAGACGGGGAGTTCTAGTCCCTCCTTAGACATGAAAGCTGACTGGGTGACTTTGGGCCAATCACTAGGAGACGGAGAGTTCTAGTCCAGTCCCTCCCTCCCTCCCTTCCTCTCTCTCTCTTTGAGCTGAACCTACCTCACAGGGTTGTTGTGGGAAAAATAACAGGAGAAAGGAGTAATTAGATACGTTCATTGCCTTGAGTTGCTCATATAGTAATACAGCCAGGATCAAATTCTAATAATTCGTCACCAAACATGCTGCGTTAGGCTTACACTTGAGATAGACTTTTGCCTGCATTTGTAGGTTTAAAGTTCTTTAACCTGTTTATGCAAATATAGAGCCTTTTGTAGCCTTTAGTGCAACAGGTTGGCAGAGCGCAGTGGGAACAGAAATTAATTGCCAAGCAGGAGCCTTCAGATTAAGCAGGGCAGGGGGGAGTTTTGATGGCGCCTTTATTATTTACGGCTAATAAATATATCAGGCCATTGATTGATTGGGCTCCTGCGGTGAAGGCATCTGGGTCAAAAGCAGGGCTGAATCACGCCAGCCAGTTGAGGATTTAGCTTGTGCCCCGAAAAGCAGCAGCCTGAACATCAAAAAGTCCTCTGCTTACAACCCTTTGTTTAACAGACCGTTCCAAAGTTACGCCGACACTGGAAAAAAAGTGACTTTTATGACCTTTTTTCACACTTACAACCGTTTCACCATCGGCATGATCAAAATCGGCAAATTTGCCTGTATTTATGACGGCCGCAGTGTCCCTCTTTGCGACCTCCTGTCAAGCCAAGTCCAGGGGGAAGCCAGATTCACTGTGCAACCGGGTGACTCACTTAACAGCCGTCGCCCTCCGCTTCACAGTGGTGGCGAGAAAGGTCGTAAAACGGGGAGAAATTCACTTTGCGTCCCTGCTTAGCAACAAAGATGTTGGGCTGCATTGTGACTGTACATCAAGAACTGCCTGTAGGTGCTGTTCCTTGAGGCACAATTCTTGCATAGCAAGAAACAGAAATAGAGCCGGAAGGGACCTTGGAGGTCTTCTAGTCCAGCCCCCTACTAAAGCAGGAAACCTTATACCTTTTCAGACAAGTGATTATTCTAGTCTCTTCTTCAAAGCAAGTTTGTGCATGCGTGTCAAAAGACAAGACACATGTGTGCAAACTTGGTCATCTTTTGAAAAGGTAAAGGTTCCCCTTGCTCACAGGTGCTAGTCGTTCCCAACTCTAGGGGGCAGTGCTCATCTGTTTCAAAGCCGAAGAGCCAGCGCTATCTGAAGACATCTCCGTGGTAATGTGGCCGGCATGACTCAACGCCAAAGGGGCATGGAACGCTGTTCCCTTCCCACCAAAAGTGGTTCCTATTTTTCTACTTGCATTTTTTACCTGCTTTTGAACTGCTAGGTTGGCAGAAGCTGGGACAAGTCACGGGAGCTCACGGGATTCGAACCGCTGAACTGCCGACTTTTTCTGTTCGATAAGCTCAGCGTCTTGGCCACTGAGCCACCGCATCTTTATATTTGTATTTGTGAATAAGGACGGTTTTTAAAAAAAATCAACCCATCGGCTTGTAGATCTCGAGCGAGGATTTTCCCAATTGAGCTTATGAAGCATCTTAGGAAGGCTTCAAAATTCTTCCCCCAGGCGTTAGGCAAAGACAAACACCCCCCCTCTCCCCAAACATTTCCCAGACAGCCCCCCTCCCCACATTCCCCCTTGTGTATCCTGTTTTCCTATCGATTGTTTCCCTAGGAGTAATTTTACAACAGGAAGCCGCTGCAAATCAAAACGCTGCAAATCAAAACGGCTAGACTTTAGCCACATCCTTCCTTGCACAAACCCTTGTCTGGGTTGCACAGGGGTGGCAAAATTAACACCCCCCCTTAATTTGCCTTTTCATCAGGAGGGTTTCCTTCCCCCCACCCCCGTGTGCTCTTAACCCCCACCCCACTTGAGATGGCCTCTGCGTGACAAACTCTTGGCAAACAGGGTTTTGCGTAGACTTTCCGGGTGCAGCTTGTTGAACGACGCACGAGCTCTCTCCAAGCAGCAGACCCAAAAGAGAAGGAGGCGGGCGCACAAACAACAAGAACTGAGCAATCTTTATTTCTTATCAAGAGCCTTGAGGCAGGATGCTTTCCACATCTCGTTTCAAAGTTCAGGGTAGTTATTAACGCTTCTGGCTGTGTTGCCCTTCCCAAAAGCTGGGGGACTCAAGGAAACTCCCGAAAGCCAAGAGCAAACTTTTTGAAACTTTTTTTTGTTTTGAAGAGCAAAAGCTTAGGCCGAGCTGTGGAGGGGAGAATATACACCAGCACCATGGATCTGGGTACCCCAAGGATGGTTTACCCTCTTCCCCTGACCGATTTAAGGATTTTGGCAAGAGCAGACTCGGCTGCACGGTTCTGTCCAATCTTAACAACATCGCCTCCCCCCACTCCTCAAAATAAAAGCTGAACCCAGGAAGCGTAGATGGGGGGGGGGTCTTCTTCCAAGAACCCAGCTCCCCAGGGGTGACATTTTGGAGGAAGGGATGAATCTTCCTATTCCTTCAAAGCAGGGCTGGGTGTGAGTGCACACGGCCCTCAAAAATTTACCCAAAATTAAGCAACGCAGTTGCACCGCCCGCCGTCTATTCTATAGCATCTAACGGGTCTTTTGGGGTGAAGCAAAACAACCCCCTGAAACATTAGGACTTTCTTTTTCTTTCTTTTTTAAAAAAAGGTGATTATTTTGGTCCAGAAGAGAAGGGTTTCGATTCCAAAGAAGCTTGGAATCCTTGGGCACCTTTGGAGAAATGGAAGGGTCGTGAGATGATGGAGAGGCAGGGGGGAAAAAATTCATTCTCGGCTGAGACTGGGAAGGAAACCAAAGTGGATTTTTTGTTGTGGTTTTAATATTGGGGGAAAAAAACATGGTCGAAGGGAGTCTGAAGGAAAAATGGGAGACTCCAAATGGATCGCTTCTTGGAGAACAAACTCGGAAAGTTCTCTGGGGAAAAAAAAAAAGGAAGATACTGGAGGAGGTGGAGGGGAAGGCCGGGACGGTGGGCTCAAAGGATCTGACGGGGCATCCCGTAACCCGTCATGCCCGCCTGGGAAGCCCCTCGGTTTGTCCCCATCTGCAGCCCGATGACGCTCTGTCCCTCTCGGAGTTTGTCATCCGAGAAGGCCCGGCGATTCTCCTGGGATTTCCTAGCAACGCAAAGAGAAAAAAAAAAGGAGTCTGAATGAGGACAGGGAAATTCCCAGGTTGAAAGGCGATGCTGGTTTAATGGTAGATTAAGCAAGAAACCCTACGGGGCAAGACTGGCACCTCAAGGGACAGCCATATAGGTCAGGGATGGTGAACCTTTTTGGCACCAAGGGAGTGCCAAAAAGGGAGCGCATGCATTCGTGTCAGCTGTGCAACCCGGAAGAGGCGCTGCAAAGGGGGCTCCCATGCCTGCAAGCCATCTTTTCTTATGGGCTTTCAGGCCTGCCACACTTTCTACTATCTACTTTCTACTGTGGGAAAATGGGAGGCAGGAGGACTGTACGGAGTTGGGTGATAGGTAGCCATAACAACATTCTTCTTAGAAAGTCAAGGTCATCTTTGTGTCTGTACCTGGCAGGAACTGGATGGGTGGAATCGTGTCTTCGTGGCAGTGGGAGATTGGACCATGGGATGAACTTTGTGGGTGTGTGTGTGTGTGGGGGG